TTCTTTTTTTAATATACATACGTTTCTCTCGTTGGAACCACTACCAACCTCTTTTTTTATTATATATATATATATATATATATATATATATATATATATATAAATTAAAAGAAAGAACAGTAAGATTTATAATCACGTCATCTTATTAATTATTTTTATTTTTAAAAAACAGTGCTCAATAGAATTCTGCTCTTTTCCTCTCATTCCACGCCCTTACGTCTTATTGGCTTTATCGCCTTTCTTTGCGTGAAATGAATTAAAAAAAATGTTCTAATGAGTTACTTCCTTAGTTCCATCAGTATAGCCCTTTACAGTTAGGATCCACCATGCCACGTACACATGGTCGAATCATCCCCATTCCCTTTGTATTCCATTTGTAAGGAGGAAGTTTCATTCTCACTGTTTCTTCAAAAGACCCGCTAATTTGTGTAGCAGGCTTCCCAGATTATTCTTCCTACGATGATTGCCATCCAAGGGTAGAAAGACCAGTTCTTACCAATGTAATATCAGTCTTCTTGGCTCAAATGAAGGAACGTTCATCCCATATTAAAGTAATAAAGTATAAAACAGTTATTTGTGATTGTCATAGAGGTATTGATGAGGAGGATATTAGTCCCAGTAGCCATATGCAAATTAGGTTGTTTCTTCTTTGACAAATTTGCGTGCCTTTAGTAAAAAGAAAAGATTTTGACTTTTTGTTTTTGAGTATGATTGGGACGCTAAGCAATATAAACGAAAAAAAAGGTTGAAGAAAGATAGGGCAAATGGAAATAAAAGAGGAAAGCCAAAAGAATGGGGATAGAGAGAAAGATGAAGAAAGTTAGAAAAAAGTGAGAAACACCAGTAGAAAATAAAGGCTGAGAAGAAGAAGAAGAAGAAGAAGAAGAAGAAGAAGAAGAAGAAGAGGAGGAGAAGAAATGAAGATTTGGGGAGAAAGAATTGAAGAAGAAGAAGAAGAAGAAGAAGAAGAAGAAGAAGAAGAAGAAGAAGAAGAAGAGGAGGAGGTATTAATGAAGATTTGGGAGGAGAAAGCATTGAAGAAGAAGAAGAAGAAGAAGAAGAAGAAGAAGAAGAAGAAGAAGAAGAAGAAGAAGAAGAAGAAGGAAGATTTGAAGGAAAGCATTGAAGAAGAAGAAGAAGAAGAAGAAGAAGAAGGAAGAGGAGGAGAAGGTATTAATGAAGATTTGGGAGGAGAAAGCATTGAAGAAGAAGAAGAAGAAGAAGAAGAAGAAGAAGAAGAAGAAGAAGAAGAAGAAAGAGGAGGAGAAGGTATTAATGAAGATTTGGAAGGAGAAAAGTATTGAAGAAGAAGAAGAAGAAGAAAAGAAGAAGAAGGAAGAGGAGGAGAAGAAGAATGAAGATTTGGGGAAGAGAAAAGCATTGAAGAAGAAGAAGAAGAAGAAGAAGAAGAAGAAGAAGAAGAAGAAGAAGAAGAAGAAGAAGAAGAAGAAAGAGGAGGAGAAGGTATTAATGAAGATTTGGAAGGTGAAAGCATTGAAGAAGAAGAAGAAGAAGAAGAAGAAGAAGAAGAAGAAGAAGAAGAAGAAGAAAAGGAAGAGGAGGAGAAGGTAAGAAGATTTGGAGGAAAAGAAGAAGAAGAAGAAGAAGATGAAGAAGAAGGAAGAGGAGGAGAAGGTATTAATGAAGATTTGGAAGGTGAAAGCATTGAAGAAAGAAGAAGAAGAGAAAGAAAGAAGAAGAAGAAGAAGAAGAAGAAGAAGGAAGAGAAGAAGAAGAAGAAGAAGAAGAAGGAAGAGGAGAAGAAGGTATCAATGAAGATTTGGGAGGAGAAAGCATTGAAGAAGAAGAAGAAGAAGAAGAAGAGAAAGAAAGAAGAAGAAGAAGAAGAAGGAAGAGAAGAAGAAGAAGAAGAAGAAGAAGGAAGAGGAGAAGAAGGTATTAATGAAGATTTGGGAGGAGAAAGCATTAAAGAAGAAGAAGAAGAAGAAGGAAGAGGAGTAGGAGGTATTAATGAAGATTTGTGAGGTGAAAGCATTGAAGAAGAAGAAGAAGAAGAAGAAGAAGAAGAAGAAGAAGAAGAAGAGTACGGGGAAAGGAAGGAGACGTAGAGTGAGTGAGGGAAAATAATTATGAAAAAAAAAAACAAGTTTAAAAGTGCACAAAAAGAAAAAAAAAGTTAAAAGATCGAACTGAAAAAGTGAAGAAAACCGAAAGAAGAAGAATGAAGAAAAAGAGGAATGGTATTAAATAATTGAAGAGATTGACAAATGGCAGATTGAACGACATCGGGGAGGAAGAAGTTTAAATAGAAAACAAAAACATCAAAAACAGGAGAATCCATAGAAGATAAATGAAAAAAAAAAAAAAAAAAGAAAAGAAAAGAAAAAGAGCTCATGAGAAAAAAAAAAGGAGTAAAAGAAAATGAAAGAGAAGACCATATGGAAGATGAGAAATGGTTGCTAGGAGAAGATACGAAAAAAAAATAGATGAAGATGAAGAGAGGGGTAAAGAAAGTATAGAAGAAGAGAATACGAGAAAAAAAATAAAAAATATATATATATATATAGAAAATATAAAAAAGGCCGAAGAAAAAGAGGTGAATAAAAAGTAGAGAAAACAATGTCAAATATGAAGTAATTGTTTGAAAACAAACAAAACTTATTAATCTCTTTTAAGACCCTTGATGTGACATGCACCTTGAAAAGTGACAAATTTCAAAGAACACAATTTTTACGCAAATGTTTCAATAATGTTATCAGAATCGTCAAATATCTTTTAGTGATTTTTTTTTTTGATTAGTGATTGTGACATGAAGATACGAGTCACAGGCCAAGTATTCTCGAATGTTTTGTAGCCTAGAAGAATTTTAGAAAATAACTCGACTTAATAATTCTTCTTTCAAGTCTGACTAAACGAACGATAAAATTACAAATAAAAATCTTAAGAAATAAATCGTTAAATAATGTTTGTTTATTTTTTTACCGGCATATCAACTCCTTATGGGTCATTTTATGCCAAAATTAAATTTTCTTGTGAGCATTATTAATTTCTTTTATGTATATTTATTTTTTACAAAAAAATGCATTGTTGATAATTTTTATTTTTACAAAAATCTATTGCTGGTATTTATTTATACTATGAAAATGAGTTGCTGCTATTTATTTTTACTATGGAAATGTATTGCTGGTATTTATTTTACTATGAAAATGTATTGCTGGTATGTTTTTTACTATGGAAATGTATTGCTGGTATTTCCTTTACCATGGAAAGATATTGCTGGTATTTATTTTTACTATGAAAATGTATTGTTGGTATTTTTTTAACTATGAAAATGTATTGCTGGTATTTATTGTTACTATGGAAATGTATTGCTGGTATTTATTTTTACTATGAAAATGTATTGCTGGTATTTTTTTACTATGAAAATGTATTGCTGGTATTTATTTTTACTATGAATATATTGCTGGTATTTTTTTTACTATGGAGATGCATTGCTGGTATTTTTTTGTACTATGGAAATGTACTGCTTATATTTATTTTTACTATGAAAATGTATTGCTGATATTTTTTTACTATGAAAATGTGTTGCCGGTATTTTTACTAACAAAATTTTTATATTTTCATAGTGTTTTGAGCCCAGTCTGGGGGTTAACTATTTGCCCAAAGCTAGGACCCTAACATGTGCTAGCACCCCGGGTCAATGTGAACATGGGAACAAAAGCAATTGGGAGGTGGTTACATGCTGCTCAAAACCTTCCGATCAGAGGCCTTGCTGCTCGATGTAGTTTATCGTCTTGCCCAGGAAATTCGTAAAATAAGAAATAAAAAAAAGGCACGAACAGAGTTGATAAACAAAAACGCGCTAGTAAATAAATAACAAAAAAAAAAAAAGGTTAAAAATTATCGCTTGAAGATATTAGATTGATTGATTTATTTTTTACGGTTTATCAACCCTCCGGTATTTATTTAAAACCGACACATTTTTGAATTAAAAGAATGATGTTCCTTTTTTGTTAGTGAATAGTGTATTAATAATGTTTTAGAAAATAACTGTTTTTTTTTTTTTCAGATAAATGTCCTGGGAGGATGAGATTGATTCACACCATTCTGAAAGCTATTGCAGCATGTGAATATATTGTACTCGACTGAAATTCGAACACGGCATTCCGATTTCTGGTTACAAGTCGCTACCCATTGCACCAACCGCACATCCGAAAATAGAAGTGGGAACAGGAACATAAAACGAGTTTTATGAGTGACAAGAAAAAGAGAGTAACGTTGTTTTTAAAAAAATCTATGCCAGTAAAATTTTTGTAAACATTTTTATTACTAAATTATATACACGGGTACTTTCACAATATATTGGGCTGGTGCATAATTATCAGGCGTTTTCAACAATATTTATTAGAAAAACGCCTGATAATTATGCACCAACCCAATATTTGCTTTATAAAGCAAATAGCGATTTAGTAAGCGTGGCTTACTTCTGGCACAAGGTCGAAAGCATGGAGCACCCAGTGAGGATCGAAATCACTCTGCTTTATAAAGCATAGATGCACTAGTCAAAATAAAAAAAAACAAACAAACAATTTTTATGATAGACAATGCTTTATTCACTTAGATTACTTTCAGTCGAATATTCACATTTTTTACAATTATTATCACAACGTTTCGACTGTTGTGCCCTCCGGCCTTCTTCAGGTGTCTGTTGATCGAGGCAATAAATAGCACCTACGTGTGATATTTCTTCCGGGTGACATCTGAAACCGGTTCTTTTGGTAACAGTTTGTCTCGTTATGACACCCCTCCCCATTTACTCTTGCCTTTGGCATTCTGCAATTTCGCCTCTTTCATCACAAGTCGATTCCATTCAGATGAATCGAATAGGCATACACCTGAAGACGTTCGGAGGAGACAACGTTCGAAACGTTGGGATAAAAAAGAAAAAAAAATATCAGAACATTAGGCCGAATGTAAATAATGGTAAATCCTCAACAAATAGATTTAGCCAAAAATATTTCATCGAATAATAAATTAAAATGATCTATCTATCTATCTATCTATCTATCTATCTATCTATCTATCTATCTATCTATCTATCTATCTATCTCAGTTTGTTTGTTTCCATCATCTATCTATCTATCTATCTATCTATCTATCTATCTATCTATCTATCTATCTATCTATCTCTATCTATCTATCTATCTATCTATCCTATCTCATCTATCTCAGTTTGTTTGTTTCTATCTATCTATCTATCTATCTATCTATCTATCTATCTATCTATGTCCACATCTATCTATCTATCTATCTATCTATCTATCTATCTATCTATCTATCTATCTATCTATCTATCTATTTATTTGTTTCTATCTATGTCCATCATCTATCTATCTATCTATCTATCTATCTATCTATCTATCTATCTATCTATCTATCTATCTATCTCTATCTCTATCAGTTTGTTTCTATCTATTTCTATCTATCTATCTATCTATCTATCTATCTATCTATCTATCTATCTATCTATTTGTTTCTATCTGTCATCATCTATTATCTCATCTTTTTATGTTTCTATCTATCTATCTTTTTGTTTCTATCTATCTATCTATCTATCTATCTATCTATCTATCTATCTATCTATATATATATATTTATTTTTTTGTACGCTTATTCAGGCCGGAGCGTACAACGGCGGAAACGCTGTGAATATGGCAATGAAGATGAGGATAACAGTCCGAATAATGTAAATAATGTAAGTATTGTCGCTCGAGTTATCTGTTGATATAACTTGTTGGAATTCTGCTGTCCTTAAAAAGACGTTAAATGCTTGTAGTTTTTTCGTGTTTACATAGGTGTTAATGCGTTGAAAACATCGTTTTCCATACGCTCACCGGAGTTAAGAAACGTCGAGCTTGGTCAGTACATAGATGGGTGACCTCTTGAGATGCCGTGAGCTTGTATGTGCGGATAAATGTCTGGAATTGTTTATCGGAGAACGGAGTTCTAATTTCCGTTTTGTTCGTGATATTTACCCACGCGAAGATACCGTTGAAAAAGGCATGAATCAAGATCTTCTTTTCCCCCCAGCTATGGGTTAATTAGCAAGACTTGTATCAGTAAATCGTTATTATTATCTAAAAAAAAAAATTTTGTGACTTTAAATAAAATGGAAAGGGTTGATGAGAAGCAGATCATGAATGCATCAATCAAGAACACACACGCACATATTGTTTAAAATAAAGCTATGGCTTCTTTAGCTAAGATCTTTTTATACTGGTAGGTGTAATATTTCGTAAAAAGAAGGTAAATAAAAATTGTTACTTACCTGAAGTTGAAAAATGAAATATGTCCGTGGTATGAGTTTGAAGTAAAACCAATTGTCCCTCCTTTTTTGTTTATCTCCGCAATAAAATAATCTGTTTTTGTTTTATAATTGTCACTTCTCTGTCACGTCGGACTTGTTGTATTTTCTTTCTTTTTTTTTAATTTTTTGTAAAAATCAAAACAAAAGAAATGTTTCACGTGTTTAGCAAAAGATGCACTATAAAAATCACCTCGGCATCATCACCAGAAATGAGTGCCGAATTTTCTTATTTTTTTAACTACGACTGGAGATTTTTTTTTAAAAAAGAAATGAAACGAAAATAAGCCTAAAGACAAGTCCATGAAAAAAATAAAAATAAAATAAAAATCGAAAATAAAAATGAAAATAAAATAAAAAAAATCAATCGGTACCCCGCAAAAAAAAAAAAAAAAAATTGACGAAGAAGCGGGAAAAAAAAAGAAAAAGAAGAAAGCGACGATTATTTCATCGGGAAAGACGAACGGAGTGACGAAGAACAAGGACAGGTACCCATCGCGCGCCAGCACCTGTTTGATAACCGTGCTGATTGTTTAGTGAGTAGATGGCGCGCTGGTGGCTGTCTCTAGGTGTTGCGATTGCGACGGGTGTGTGGCAGATATTAAGCTGTGACAGTCACGCCGAAGGAAGAATAAGACTTATAGTCTCACAGCACCCAGAACCTCTTTATCGTTTGGTCAAATCCTCGCACCTAACACTAAAGGTGCACAATAGATTTTTTTTTCACAAGCACCGAAGGAAGCAGTAGCTAAAATAGATAGAAAATGCGGTCTGGATCATGCTGGTGCTGATATATAGTCTGTTATATAGTCGTTGAATTTTCACACCGGACGGTAATATCAAACCGGTTCTTGTTGGAGATCAAGTGAAAGCAAGTCTTCTCTGTTTACTATTATTATTATTATTACTTCCTTTTTGAAATCCACACCTGATGTCTGCAGGTTATATTATTATTATTATTAGTATTGTTTCCTTTTTAAAAATCCACACCAGATGTCTGTAGGTTAACGAGAAACAACAAAGTTTGTACAAATCTATAATACCGATTCGGTGAATCCGTGCCAAGACGGGGAATTATTCCTTGTATAATATTTTCCCTAATATGCTTCGTCCAGTACAAGGCCCAAGAGCCATTCCTGGTAGAATGTTAAAGTCGAAATGGTAACGATGAATGAGGCGTTTAATATTAGTGAAAAAGCAGGTGGTACGAAATGAAAATTGTGAGGATAAGGGGGATAGATAAAAACTGACCCTTGACTTGAAGAGGTCAAGACTGAAGTGTTCATTCATCAGGGAGTTATCGCTCACGTCGTCCCTGTTGGCTGTAACAAGGGTGAGGTCAAGTGACAGCAAGAATCTTTAATATAGCAACACCTTGCTCAGTATTAATTTTGGTGAAAATGTCAGAGTTTTTTCTTTTTAGTTATGCATATTATATTATAATTTTTAAAAATTTTACATTTTATATATATTCTTTTACAATGATGTTCACCCTGTACAAGGCCTGAGAGCCACTCGAGGTAGAAGGCTACAGAGTAAGAGGCACAGTCTATGCTAATATGTGGGGAAGATAACGGTTAACCCCTAGACTTGAATCGGTTAAGAATTCGGAGTAGAATCCACATGGGAGTTTGTTCCGCAAAACATCAGTTATTAGGTATATTTTAGAAGTATGATTTTCGCGCTACTGGAGAAAGATGGTCCCGAGAGAAAATAAAAAGATCTGACGCTAAGAAAGGGATGATGCCTGTTTTTGATTAGGACATGGCACAGTGGACAAAGGGGTTAGTTAGATCCAGTGACAAGACCCAAAGAGTGTGAGTTCAATACCCGGTTAAGGCGGTGGAGAACTTGGAGAGAGGAATTAACAGATAACTGACATCCATTAAACATGGCACGTGGAACTAGAACAGTCTATCCCAGCGAGCGAAATAAAGGGTTCAGTTCGACGTTCCAAACACCTGAAGAAGACTGGAGTGTACAACGGCTGAAACGTGATAAATATGATGAAGATGATAGTCCGAACAATGTAAATAGTTTACATAATACCTCATCTCAGAAATATAGACAGAGATTGAAGATCAGAATTCAGATTGTATAATAAATTTGTGCGGGTGCGGGTGTGGGGAGCTTTGGGTAAACTGTTTAACATGTGCACGATGTCTGGCATTCTTCTAAAGAAGAAAGTTTGTTTTTTTTATTTTCGCTTTAACAATAATGCTTAGTGGTTAGGGAAAGGGTTAAAAAGATTAATCTTCTTGAACTAGAAAAAAGAAGTAGTTTAAAACAGTCCATTAGAAACAGAACTTTGATATGATGCAATTTAAACTGAATAGCAAATTCGGTCATCACTGAATTCCCTGTACTTTCGGCCATGTGCTACAGCTAAGCCGCGTTTAGGTCCCCATTGGATGCCCAGTACTTTCGGTCATGTGTCACATCTAAGATGCGTTTAGGTCCTCTCTGGACGCACAGGACTTTCGACCATGTGGAACATCTAAGCTACTCATAGGTCCTCTCTTGTCGACCCTTTTTTTCGGCTATGAGCCACATTTAAAACACGCTTAAGTTCTCACTGGGTGCTTGTACTTTGGACCATGTACCACATTTAAGATACGCCAAGGTCCTCACTGGGTGCTTCTTACTTTAGGCCATGTGCAATATCTTAACTGAGCTTAGGGCCTCACTGGATGCCCCGTACTTTCCGTTATGTGCCACATCTAAGCTGCGCTTAGGTCCTCACCGGATGCCCAGGTCTTTCGAACATGTGGAACATCTAAGCTATACTTAGGTCCTCTTTGGACGCCCTATATTTTCGTACTATCGACCATGTTCAACATCTGAGCTACGTTTTGGTCCTCAGTGGATGCTGCTTACTTTAAGCCATGTGCAACATCTAAGCTACGCTTAGGTCTCGCAGGGTGCTTCTTATTTAGGCTTTGCGCAGCATCTAAGCTGCGCATAGGTCCAACAAGGTACATTTTCGACCATGTGCCACATCTAAGCTACGCTTAGGTCCTCACTGGGAGCTCTGTATATTCGACCATGTGCAACATCTAAGTTGCGCTTAGGTCCTCATTGTGTGATTCTTACTTTAAGCTATGTGCAACCTTTAAACTGGGCTTAGGTCCTCACTAGGTGCCCCGTACTTTAGACGACGTGGAACATCTAAGCTATGCTTAGGTCCTCACTGGGTGCCCTGTACTTTCGGTCACGTTGCACATCTAAGCTGCGCTTAGGTCCTCACTGGACGCCCAGGACTTTCGACTATGCGCAACATCTAAACTACACTTAGGTCTACTCTGGATGCCCGGTATTTTTGATCATGTGCCACATCGAAACTACGCGTAGTTTAGATGTTCGCTTAGGTCCTCACAGGGTGCCTCGTATTTTCCGCCATATACACCATCTATGCTACGCTTAGGAAACCACCATTGGCAACTTCTTTCTTCTTGCGATGATCTTTTTTTGTTTGTTTGTCGTTTCACTTCTTTCATCACTGTCGTCAGTGTTACCTTTCTTTTAAACGTTTCTTAAGGCGACCGTCAGCCTTATTATTCTTGCAGAGTTTGTCGACTTTTCTTCTTTCTCTTTGTAATATAGTCTAACTCGTTCTGTCGTAATCACAGTATCCGAAAAAAAAAACAAACAAACAAACAACAAAACAAAAAGAAAAAAAAGAAAACTAAATAAAAACGTGCCGGTAATAACTGAAATCGTGGAAATAGAAGTAATAGCAATACTCGACGTTTACGGTTACTGCTCTCGTGGTTATATGAAGCAGTGGTAGTAATGGTAGTAGCAGGATATAGCAGATCTAAACATCGTGAAACTGCATTACGGGCACTGGCGGAGTGACGAATGATGGAAGGTGTTTTCTTTCTCTATTTTATTTTTGCCTTCTGCATATGGGCGATGGTTCAATGATACACGTGTTTCGAGGTGTTAAATCCTTTGTGACTGCTTTCCTCATGGGATGTGTGTTTGGTAATCTGATTTAGGATGGTTGCATTCATATAACGATATGAATGTTTGTCTGTCCCTATTTTCATATGTGTATGTGTCCATTGTCGTTATGGCTATGAGTGGGTGGGCGTGTAAATTGAACATACGTAGACAACAATCTATGTCTGATTTTCAGTGACCGTGAGTTTTGTAAGTTAAGCGTATCATGATATTTTTTACCTCTAACTTTTTGTTGTATTAGAGCTAGCTCCAATAAAATGGCGACGCCAGGTGACAGTGCATTTTATGAAAATAAATAAATGATTCAAATATATTTATATATAGGATTACTTTT